TTGGTCGTGGTGGATGATCCTTTTAATGTATTGTTGGATCCTATTAGCTAGGATTTTGTTGAGGATTTTGGAATCCATATTCATCAGGGATATCGGTCTGAAATTCTCCTTTTTAATGGGGTCTTTGCCTGGTTTGGGGATTAAGGTAATGCTGGCCTCATAGAATGAGTTTGGAAGTTTTCCTTCTGTTTCTATTTTTTGAAACAGCTTCAGTAGAATAGGTATTATTTCTTCTTTGAATGTTTGGTAGAATTCCCCAGGGAATCCATCAGGCCCTGGACTCTTGTTTTTGGGAGTTTTTGATCAGTGCTTCAATCTCGTTACTGGTTATTGGCCTATTCAGGTTGTCAATTTCTTCCTGTTTCAGTCTTGGCAGTTTATAGGTTTCCAGGAAGGCCTCCATTTCATCCAGATTGCTCAGTTTATTGGCATGTAGTTGTTGGTACTAATTTCTAATAATTGTTTCTATTTCCTTGGTGTTAGTCATGACCTCTCCCCTTTCATTCATAATTTTATTAATTTAGGTCCTTTCTCTTTTCTTTTGGATAATTCTGGCCAGTGGTTTATCGATATTATTAATTCTTTCAAAGAACCAACTTCTAGTTTCGTTGATCTGATCTACTGTGTTTCTGGTTTCTAATTCATTGATTTCTGCTCTAATTTTAATTATTTCTCTTCTGATGCGTGGCTTAGGCATCGTTTGTTGCTTTTTCTCTAGTTCTTTAAGGTGTAGGGTTAGTTGATGAATTCGGGATTTTTCTATTTTTTTGAGTGAGGCTTGGATGGCTATGTATTTCCCCCTTAGGACCACCTTTGCAGTATCCCATAGGTTTTGGACTGATGTGTTTTCGTTCTCATTGATTTCCATGAATTGTTTAAGTTCTTCTCTGATTTCCTGGTTGACCCAAACATTCTTGAACAGAGTGGTCTTTAGCTTCCAAGTGTTTGAATTTCTGCCAATTTTTTTCTTGTGATTGAGTTCCAGTTTTAGAGCATTGTGGTCTGAGAATATGCAGGGAATAATCTCAATCTTTTGGTATCGGGTGAGACCTGATTTGTGACCCAGTATGTGGTCTATTCTGGAGAAAGTTCCATGTACGCTTGAGAAGAATGGGTATTCTGTTGTTTTAGGGTGGAATGTTCTGTAAATATCTATGAGGTCCATCTGGTCCAATGTATCATTCAAAGCTCTTGTTTCCTTGTGGATTTTCTGTTTAGATGCTCTGTCCATTGCTGAGAGTGGAGTATTGAGGTCTCCTACAATTAACGTATTGTTATCAATATGACTCTTTATTTTGGTTAACAGTTGGCTTATGTAGATGGCTGCTCCCATGTTGGCGGCAGAGATATTTACAATTGTTAGATCTTCTTGTTGGATAGTCCCTTTAAGAATGATAGTGTCCATCTGTGTCTCTTATTACAGACTTTAGTTTAAAATCTAATTTGTCTGATATAAGAATTGCTACCCCAGATTTCTTTTGAGGTCCGCTGGCATGGAAGATGGATCTCCATCCCTTCACTTTCAGTCTGGAAGTATCTTTAGGTTCAAAATGAGTCTCTGTAGACAGCATATGGATGGGTCCTGTCTTTTTATCCAATCTGCAACCCTGTGCTGTTTTATGGGAGCGTTTAGGCCATTCACGTTGAGAGTGATTATTGAAAGATATGAATTAATTGTCATCATGTTGCCTGTGAAGACATTGTTTTTATAGATTGTCCCTGTAAATTTCTGTTGTATATCACTCTTGGGATCTTTCTCCTTTTATAGAACCCCCCTTAGTATTTCTTGCAGGGCCGGCTTAGTGGTCACATATTCTTTCTGTTTCTGCCGGTCGCGGAAACTCTGCATCTCTCCATCCATTCTAAATGAAAGTCTTGCCAGATAAAGTATTCTTGGCTGCATGTTCTTCTCATTTAGTATCCTGAATATGTCTTGCCAGGCCTTTCTGGCTTGCCAGGTCTCTGTGGATAGGTCTGACATTATTCTGATGTTCCTCCCTCTGTAATTCACCTCCATTTTTGAAAAAGTTTCTCTGGATATAGAATTCTAGGTTGTAGGTTTCCTTCAGCAGTTTAAAGATGTTACTCCATTGTCTTTTGTCTTACATAGTTTTTGATAACAAAACTTTCTTTTAATTTGTTCCTCTATAAATAATTCTCTTTTTTCTCTGGCTGCCTTTAAAATTTTCTCTTTAGCACTTATTTTCAGCAATTTGATTATGATGTATCTTGGTGAAATTTTCTTTGTGTTAATCCTGTTTGGGATATATTAAGTCTCTTAAGGATCTGTGATTTTATTGTTTTCACCAAATTTGGGGAAATTTTGGCCAATATTTAATTCTTTCTCTGTGCCCTATTCCCTCTTTCCCCTGGGACTCCAATTACACATGTTATGTTGTTTGATATTGTTCCACAGGTCACTGAGACTCTGTTTTTTGGTCTTTTTTTTCCTTCTCCAGTCTTTTTTTTTTTCTATGTTTCATCTTGGATCATTTCTATTATTATACTTCTTTATACTTATAGTTCAACAATCCTTTCTTCTGCAGTATCTAATCTGTTCTTGATGCCAACAGTGAATTTTTCATTCAGATATTTAATTTTCCATCTCTAGAAACTCCATCTAGCTATTTTTAAATATATATTTTCCCTCTCTTCTCACTAAACCTATGTTTTTTTTCAATAGTTGAGCATAGTTATAATAGTTTTTTAATATCCCTGAGTGCTTATAACATCTTTATTATTCCTCAGACTGTTTTTGCTAATTGATTTTTCTCTTGGTTATAGGTCATATTTTCCTGCTTCTTGACACTCTTACTAATTTTTTATTGAATGCTGAATGTTAAGAATTTTATGTTGTTGGGTCTAGATTTTACCGTCTTCTTTTGAAGAACATTGGGCTTTGTTATAGTAGGGATTTGTTCCTTGTGTCCAGTTTGATCCTTTTGAAGTTCGTACTTAAACTTTGTTAGCCTAAGTCTGGAGTAGCCTTTACTTTCAGGATTAGCCACATTACTGAGACATAGCCCTCTAGAATCTGTTTTACTTCTCTGAGTGATGAATAACGTCTCTCCATTGAGGTTGGCTGAAATGCAAATGACTCCCAGACTTGAGTAAGGTCTGAGGAATGTCCAGTTCCCAGTTCCCAGACAGTTCTTCATCTAAACTTATGGAATTTCTTCTAATACTTCTACTTCTTATTATTCAATACAAACTGAATGGGGTCCTTATGCAGATTTCTGGAGTTCTTTTTTCTTTGTAGAGCCCACCTTTCTAGAACTCTGCCCCTTAACATTAGGTGCCTCAGACTCTCTAAATTCTGACCTCTACCTCACCTCCTCAACTCAGCAAAAACAGTTGTTCTCTATTGGAGTGCCTCTTTCATGTTCCATGGTTGAGACTGTGCCTCCAGGAAGAGGCCCAGAGTGATTGCAGGGCTCACCTCATTTGTTTCTTTTCTATCAGGGATCACAGACCTGCACTACCTGTTGTCCAGTGTCTAAAACAATTATTTCATATATTTTATGTAGTTTAATTTTTTAAGATAGAAGGTTTAATCTGATTTCTGTCATTTTATCATAGCTCAAAGTAGAAGTCCTTTCTTATATTTCAAAAATGAATCTTGGAAAACAGTTTGGCAGCTCCTCAAAAAGTTAAACATAATCATATGACCCAGGAATTCTACTACTAAGTATATATTCAAAAGAATTGAAAGGAAGGACTCAAATGAATATTTGTATATCCATGTTCAGAGTAGTATGATTTGCAATAGCCAAACTTTGGAAGGGACCCAGTGTTCAACAAAAGATGAATGGATAAACAAAATGTAGCAAATACATATAACAGAATATTATTCAACCTTAAAAAGGAATGAAATGCTGATACAGGCTACAACATGGATCAATCTTGAAGATATTAAGTTTTGTGAAATAAGCCAAACACTAAGGACAGATACTGTATGATTCCATTTGTATGAGGTACCAAGAGTAGGCAAATTCTTTGAGACGTAAAGTAGAGGCTGGGGGGAAGGGGTGGATGGCAAGTTACTATTTAATGAGTACAGAGTTTTAGTTGGGGAAGATTAAGAAGTTCTGGGGATGGATGGTGGTGATGATTACATAACATTGTGACTATACTTAATGTCACTGAAATGTATATTTAAAAATGGTTAAGATAGCAAATTACGTGTATATATATATATATATATATATATATATATATATATATTACTACAGTAAAAAAATTACCAAAAAAGAAAAATTTTCCATCTACAATAAAGGATTTCTAACAAATCTTTCAAACATTCCAATAAAAATCTGACTCCAACACAACACATAAATGCAACGCATGATTATAAACTAGATCATTTTGGTATAAAGCATAGCATTGCCCAACTGGCAAAACTCAAAAGAGATCTGAGGATTAGACAGTAGTAACTTATCATTGTGAATTCCTGATTTTGATGATTGTACTGTGTTTATGAAGGAGAATATTTATAGGAAATACGCACAAAAGTCCAGGATGATGGGGCATCAGGTTGGCAACCTACTCTCATTGGTTCAAAGAAAAGAAGATTGTTTGTAATGGATTTGAAATTTTTCTCTAAGTTTTTTGCGGTTTCAAATTTTTAAAACATAGATGAAAATATTAAAAACAATTGTATAATATTATCACATTGATCTGGTAAGAGCAGAATTACCTACAGTAAAATCACAGTAAACCATGTGTTAGCCATAGTAAAAAGTTTAAAATTAAAACAATTAAAAAAATTAAAAAAATAAAATTAAAACAATTAAAAACCTTTAAAAAATAAAAAAAAAGGTAAAATATAACTGGGATTGGATTCAGTGAAGAACAAAGTCCCTGTTTCATACTGAAACTCCATGTATTGTTTTATAAGAGAGTAAAAGGGGAAAAAGACAAAACCAAGGAGGACTAGCAAGCACATATACAAACTTGCCAGCAAATGTCTGATAAATGGCCAGAAACCAATTCATACTTACACGATGGTTTTTCCAATATGCAAAAATGATTTCTCCACAAATTCCCGAACACTATGGACTTCCCCAGTAGCTATGACAAAATCCTCTGGCTCATCATTCTGTAACATCAGCCACATAGCCTAGAAAGAGAGAGGCAAATCCAAGTCAAAGTGCATCCAGCTGTCACTTGAGAAATATAATGGTATCAGAAACAGGTAATTGGAGGGGCGCTTGGGTGGCATGGTTGGTTAAGCGACCAACTCTTGGTTTTGGCTCAGGTCATGATCGCAGGGTCTTGAGATCAAGTCCCATGGCAGGGCTCTGCTCTCAGAGTGCAGTCTGCTTAAATTCTCTCTCCCTCTCCCTCACGTGTCCTCCCCCGCCCCACCACACGCACACTCTCTCTCTCTAAAATGAATAAATAAATGTGTAAAAAAAATAATTGGAGATGGACATTGCTAAAAGGTAAACTGAGGCATATTAAATTTTTTTTTGCCAAGAGTTTATTGGAGCATACATCAATTCGAATAAGGCAGCACTAAACCAAAGGTGATTAGGAGCGCTATACCAACAGAAACTAGGAGCAGAGTTTTCATAGAGTAGACACTGAAGCAAAGTAAACAAATTTTGTGACTGACTATAGTTTACAGAGTTGCCTTATTTGAAAAAGCAGAGGTAGCTGTTTGTGACTCGTTGTTCTTAAGGTTCATTTTGTTGGATTTGAGTGCACTGACTCTGGCTTAGGTTTTGGTTCACCTACATAGGCTGTTAAGGCATTAAAAGTCACCTCAATCGGGGCGCCTGGGTGGCTCAGTTGGTTAAGCGACTGCCTTCGGCTCAGGTCATGATCCTGGAGTCCCGGGATCGAGTCCCGCATGGGGCTCCCTGCTCGGCAGGGAGTCTGCTTCTCCCTCTGACCCTCCTCCCTCTCATGCTCTCTGTCTCTCATTCTCTCTGTCTCAAATAAATAAAATAAAATCTTTAAAAAAAAAAAAGTCACCTCAATCTAAGGCCACCTTATTTGAATACTTTGACATGTACAGCTAGAAAATGACAATGAATTTACTACACTATTCTCAACATCACAGTTCTCAAACTTTAATGTGCATCAGAATCATCAAGGGAACATCTCAGCACAGATGCCTGGGACACAGAAGTTCAGACTCAGTAGACTGGAAGGACATGTTTTAGGCATCCTGATTCTCACACAGCAGGTCCTTGGGCTACAATTTAAAGGAACAAGATGTTCAAGAGTATCTGTGGCAAAGAAACTTTCCATAGTATATTTAAGAAAAGAAGAGTTTAAAAAGAATTGCCCAATTTTCCTTGATATCATGGATGGAAGGTAAGAAAAAGTCATTTAAAGACAGATGATCTTCCTCAAAAGTGGAACCAAATTTCCTGACAATAAAGTTGGAAATTTTCCAGCGTGTTGACATAAAAAATCCAAGTAAGTCAAGAATCATTAAAGGGAAAACCATTATGTAACGAACAGCACTGCCACTTCTAAAAAGTTATTTGAGTGGCAATAAGAATGCACCAGAGTTCAGGATTCGTCAGGCAGCGTTTCAAGGTCAAGTGCTCAGTGCATGCATCATACGGTGTACTTTTTCAACAGGAACAAGAAGTCTAGTTGGGCAACAGTGCAGCTGTGTGTCTTAGACACAAACTGGTAGCAACGGTCACAGCCCTGCTCCACTTGGTTATAACAACTTTTATCAGCCACACACAGGCCTATCGTTACTACAGTTTGGAACTGTACATTAATTTTAATGATTTTGTTACACAGATTGAAGACGCAGATTAAAAAACACAAAAGTATAGCTCGTGTGTGACTGCAGCATGCCTCTTTAAGAAAATCAAAGCCAACAACAATGACAACAACTGTTTTTTTCATCATTCTCACCCACTTTTCAAAATAAAATAGGTAAAAATAATAGACACTTCATTAGAACACAGTCCCCAATATTATGTGTATTACACTCTGGTTCTAACATTTAAAGAAAACTGTGCTGGTTGGTGTCTCCCTCGTTGCTATTGGATAAGCTGAAAAATAAGTTGCTGAAGCCAATGGAGCAGCTTCTTTTTTCTCAGAGGATACAACCCAAAAAAGTTTAATTCCTCTTTATTCATTTGAATTTGTGGCATCCTTCTAAAAAAAAATAGATATTTATCTTTTACTTGAAGTTATTTCTTGTGAATATTTTGTATTTTTGGTCTATTGTAAGACTTTTCAATCCTATTTTTGTCCTGTGGAGGATGAGACTTTTGGCGGTTTTATGCGCCTTGGAGGTGGGCACACTGGGTGGGACAATGGCAATAGATTCAGGTCAGTGACACACTGAGAAGTAACCAATGAAAGTGTCTTGGCTAGGAGACAGTTTTGCTGGCATTCATGAAATACCTCCAAGTGTCATTTTGCATTAAGAGATCACAGATGATGAATTTAGTCACAACACTTTAAAAATTCACACTAGTTAGATTAGTATTAATAATAAAACTTGATCCATTTTTAAAAGACACAAAACACAAGATGTTCTCTTTATTGGGATAGTCCATGCAGCACAGAGTCTCCAAAATCCTTGTACCTCTGAGACCTCAGGGCCATTTCACGCTATTAAAAATGCTCTGGGCTGAGGAGGAGTGGGGTCTGTGCCCAGCACCCTCTGTTGTTAAGGTCCCCACAGAGGTGTTTTTGTTATGGGCACCAAGGCTCATGTGCATTATCAGTGGCCTGGTGGGGGGCTAGCTCCTTGTGTCTCTGTGTCTTGCACGTGCAGTTCCCGTGGCCTAGAATGCCCTCTTCTCTCCTCTGTCTGGAAACTCTGACCTTTCCTTCCAGATCCCACACAAGGGCCCCAGGTCTAGTCCTTGGAATGAATTCATATTATCTCACTGAGTTTCCATGTGACCAATGGCACACAGTATGGTTGACTTCACTGGGACTGAGACTGCCCTTTGGCCACCCTTCCCCTGCTAAGCTGACTCTCCCACCTCCCCTGAGCACATACATGCACACACATGCACACACACACACTTGTTTTGGCTTTCTTCAAAAATACTTTCAAAGTTTTTAGGAAAAACTAAATTATGCTTCTGGCTAGAATTTCTATTTGAACATTTTTCTGAGGGATTTGTGTATACACTTACATGTGTTTTACTCAAATTTCCATTCTAAAAATAACATTTAAAATAGGTCTTTCAGGACTGCTCAGCTTATTTTATTTCTTTTGAAACACTATGTTGTGCTAGAATGGTTTTGAAAAAAATTATATTTTTAGTCATGTGAAAGAAAGCAAGGGCTTGCTAAAAATAAAAGGAGAAAATATGATTACTGGTTAATGGTGGATTACTTTAAACACTGGGCAAGTTCCCTGGTAGTTGTTTTGTTCCCCAACAGGAATCTTGGGATCAGTAGGAGCCTCTCACTTTCACTAAAGTGAGTGCCAAGAATCTGCTCTTTTCTTTTCCATCAGACTATCTGCGGCCTTTGACCTATCAATTTCTAGGCATTTCCTCTAAAGTTCATATTGTACCAGACTCCAGTCTGGGAATGGGAAGGGAAAGGATATACAACTCCAGATTTATTTGTTATTACTGAATAGTTTACTGGTTTTAACAGAGGGAAAGGGCTTTGTTTAAATTTCCACTGAGCATAATTAATGGTTATTGACTGGTAAATGAAGAACAGGTGACATTCTGGATTAGAAGATAAATGATCTTGTGTTCTGATGTGATAATGGGTTAGTAATTTGCCACAAAGCCGAGGCCCAGTGCATCCCATCATAATGCTAGATCATGTCCAGGACACAAAGGCCCCTGTGTGAGAAGTACTCAGCCATTCCCCTCCTTATACAGCTGAACACGTTGATTTGGTCCATTTATTCTCTGATGGACAGCACAACGGAGGCAAAAGCTCACCACTTCTCACCTTCCTGTTCACATGCTGAACATATGACCCATGACACTGCCAGGCCACAATCTGTGATCAAATCGCCACTCGGCTTTGGCTTCCGACTATAGAAACAATTTTGAGGTTACATGTTTTAGATGTCAATCCTCTCTCTTTGTCTCTCAAGGAATGAAGGAGAAAAAAGAGAGTCTTCCCACATTCTTTCAGTGCCCTTTAAGGATATGACTGACTTATCCACTTCCTCAGATACTTATTTACTTTCAGCCGTGACCTGATCACCAGTGCAAACAAAAAAAATCTCCTGCTTTTTAATCCATCCCACAGGGAGGAAAGACAATCAGTTAAGGAATGTACCAAGGCTTCAGATTCTTCGACATAAAAATGTCCCTTAACAGCAAATGAAGAGTGCGGTCTTCAAATCATGTCTCACGTTCATTTTGCTTTTAAGGTACGTGAAGTAGAAATCTGACGCCATACCATTGACATCTGAAGGCAGAGTGTAGATGGTTATAAGCATTAGTTAAATTTGGACATGCGTTATCTTGTAGCTGTATAATTAGAGATAGAAGCTATCAGTTCTGTAAATCTAATTTAGAGAAGTCAAAATAAAACTGTAGAAAATTTGAGTGAAAACACTGCCTCCCACAATGTACTCTTTGGCCATTCAAGTCATGAACGCGGAAGTAGGCACTGAAGGATCATTCCTCCTTCCTTGATTTGGTAGCTCTGGAGGCTGTTCACAGCTGGACCAGTGAAGGAGAACACCCAAAGTACATCACCACAGCCGACTAACTATACCTGATTCCATGCATGCCTTTTGGGGTGTGATGTGTGTTTGTCTTAAAAATCTGGATTCTACAATTGCTTCCACCTCGCCATTAACCTCCGGTTCAGTATCCAAGCCACAAACACTTATTAACTGAGCTGTCATCCATGAATAACAAGATTTGTTAATCAAGGTTATGTTTAACTATATTTATTTGACTGCTGCTTTTTTAGTCCTGTGCTTTGTGCTCTATATAAAAATAATCTTAAAACAGAACTAAATATATATATATATATATATTTAGTATATATATATTTAGGTGGAGAAAGTCTATGAAATAATTCTAATAAAAGCCATAGGAATTTGAACAAATGGATATTTAAATTCCCAATTAAAAAAATGCCAACTGGGGCTCCATTCACTTACATTTTGTCTTTAAACTTTGTTCAGTAGCTGTTTTC